GCAAAGCTCTGGGTCCCTATAGAAGGCCAGCGAAGCCTAGCCCTGGAGCAGTGGGAGGGCCCACACATGATCCCAATATAGAGGAATGGGCATGGCACAATCTGGGATTTGGGAAGCTCACCACCATGAGGAGGCTGGATCCAGGTACTCTCAGGCCAGAAGTTTTTAAAGAATGAAAAACTGACACTTCATAGGCAGTTTGAGAAGCACCATTTTAGAACTTAATTTAGATCAATTTCCAAGTTTAAGTTAAAACACATAATGATTTCTCCTAAAATGAATGTTAGTGTTGGCTGGCAAGGGGAGGAGGGGGGCTCTGAGGGTGATCTGCTTTTTGTGCTGTTGAGTTCTGTTAGTCTAGTCCTGAGTACTCCAGTATTTGGAATGAGGACCATAAATATGTGAGCATCCTAAGGTTTTCTGTGACTTACCAGTTGTCCAGACAAAGAGGCTTATGTACATGTTACTCATTCCTAAGAGAATAGAGCAAAGCAATTTTTCTTCCATTATCTTTTAGGAATTTTTCAAAACTTTTACTGTGCTGTCAAGATGACTTGACAGATAGTGTTTGCTGTACAAGTATGAGTACTCAAGTTCAAATTCCCAGACAGGGGTGCTGTAAAAGTCAGGCAGGCTTTGTGGCCCCTCATAAGCCCAACACCCAACAGAAAGGAAATCCCCTGGGCAAGCTGGTGAGCCAGACTAGCCAGAGCTCCAAGTTCAATGAGAGGCTCTTACTCAAAAAATAAAGTAGAGGTCTGGAGAGATGGCTTATCAGATCAGATGGAGCACTGGTTGTTCTTGAAGAAGACTTGGATTCAAATCCCAGCACACACATGACACCTAAGAACTATCTATAACTCCAGTTCCTGATGCCCTCTTCTGTCCTCTGTGGGTACTGCATGACATGGGTACACTTATATGGGCATAATACTCATACACATACAAATAAAAATTAAAAAGTCAAAGTGGATCACTGTCAAGAAAGACACCTGACATCATCAGTTTTGGGTTCTCTTTCTCTCTCTCTCTCTCCCCCCCCACACATGTTTATCATATTTTCACTAAAAATAACTAAGATCTTTAACTGGAGTTTGGCAGATGGTTCTTGGTATTAATGGGCAGTTACTGCTAATTGTGACTGTCCCCATCTATGGATAAGCATACTGGGGTGATAATGGGCTTCAGCTTACTGGGTTTCTCACCACCATGCTGAGCCACTTCTGGTCAAGCCATGCCTCAAAGTGCTGTTCTTAAGCCCCAGGTGTGTGTGGCAGGGGCCACTGACATCGTATCCTGGCAGCAGTTTCCAATCTGACCTTGTCCTCACCTTTCTGGGTTCCTGCCCACTGGCTAGTAGCAGGAAATGCTGACCCCAAGCCCAGACTCTTGTACGGCCTGAAGCCTGAAGCGCTAGTATTTTTTGAAGCCATAGTGACTTGCCCTTCTGCTGGGTGGCCGCAGAGAGCAAGCCCCCCTTTCACAGTTGGCTAGGTGACGCTCTTGACTTTGCTTCCTCAGAACCATTGGCATGGTCTGTGACCGCTGCTCTGGTTGTTTGAGCTTCTCAGAGGCCTGACACCTGGGCATTTATTTCTTGCAGTATGAGAGAGATGCTAGACTTTAGGAATCTGGACCCTCTGGGCTGGAGTCAGGCATGGCAGTGAGGTGGTTCATAGACGGGTGAGCTAAGACCAACCTAGAATTCCTTTTGGCCTCTCCGACCTTGTCACATTCACTGAAGGAGCTCTGTCTAACCATCAAAGGCTGTGTCAGCCAACCAGCTTCCACATGTTAAGACTGGACAACTCCAAACAGATGACCACTGCTCACCTATGGCTCAGATTTTTAAAGTGAGATTAAATCAGATCACAGCTTTGACCTTTCCGATAGAGACTAAGTCATCTCGGTGACCTTGAAAGAGAGACCAGTCCTGGTGTGGATGATGAAGCCTTTTCTATTAATCATCTACAGTCCCCCTTGAGTGGCAGGATAAAGGGATTTAGAAATGTTTCCAAGTTAACATGAGATGGGAGTGGCAGGATTAAGACTCAACTTGGGAAAAGAAAAAATTCTATGGAACAAAGTTTAGTGTTGATCAAAATGATTTCTCTGAAGATAATCTGGGCATTGAACCCTAGAAGCCAGTAAGGTATATGGAATTGTAAAGTGGTCACATTAGCAATTAGCAGATTGGGCCAGATGCAAACTGTTTACCTCTGACCTAGCAGTGCAACTCACAGAAACTTATTCTAGAAATTAATCAGCCACAGATGTGCTTATTGTGCCATTATTTAGTAGCCAAAACCCAAACAAAAGCAACCCAACCATGTGACCATCCCATGCATATTCTTGGAAAATAACACAGTAGATATCTTTCCAAAGAGAAGTACAGTACAGCGTGGTCTCATGCACAGTTGGTATCTCTACACAGTTGGTCCTTTCTATACACAGAGAAATGCCCATGATTCATTTGCAGATATCTGTGTTAGTAGGCAGGTGAATTTATCTCCAGGGCCTTCTGGCACAGCCCTGGATTTCAACTCTTGTCTTGGTAAAATAATCAGTAGATCCTCTCCTCTCTACTTTCTAAAACTTTCTGTTTTGAACGGCCAATTATGTGTCCACTCTGGTTTTGAGTGGATTTTCACTTTCCTTCTTCATACCTTTTAGACTGCCAGAGTTTTCTTTTTGAACCTTAGCATGTTATTTTTCAAGTAAATAAAAATAAGAAGTTATTCACATGGGATCTGGATGAACAGTCTCCTGCCTACCCAGAATCCTCTGCCTATAGACCCTCTATTACCAGGGTTCCTCCTGAGTTGGGAGTAAAGCATAACAACATGGGGGAGGGTGCTCCAGGCCACCCTTAGCAGGAACACTGGGTCTGCCTGCATGACCCTTTGCTTTAAATTGCCAACTAAGCTTACCCTAGAGCATCAGAGGACCTGGTACGCTCCAGTGACACAGCCAGGATTTTCTTCCTCCAAAAGATAAAGTACTGATAAGATAATGGGAGTGATTTAGTAATAGGAGGAAGTTGGACATCTCATAACTGGAGAAAATTTCCAGTTGGACAGAAAATACTTTGTGAAAAAGCCCCACTATAAATCATTCATCATGCTGAAGATGTTCTAGTTCACTTTTGCTTTTAGTCAAGATTTGAAGTGTGTCAGACCTTCAGGGTGTGTGTGTGTGTCTGTCTGTCTGTCTCTCTGTCTGTCTCTGCGTGTCTCTGTGTCAAGATACAGCTCTGAGCAGGAATGCTAGGGAAGGAGAATGATAGCAGCTGTTAGGATTTATTAGTTTACTAGTTTCCTGTTGCTGCCATAGCAAATGACAAAGAATTGATAACGAAACAGAAGTTGACTCAGTGCATTTGTGTGCAGCCCAACAACCTGAATTTGATCTCCATATCCACAAAATGGAAGGGAGAACCGACTTCTGAGAAATCTCTTCTGATCTTCACATAAGTTTGGTGGAATGCACGTACCTAAGTGCACACACACACACACACAAAGTGTTTTGGGTTTTTTTTGGGGGGGGGCGGTTTTGTTTTGTTTTGTGTGTGTGTGTTTTTCTTCTTTCCTTTTTTGTCTTTTTGAGAGAGGTAGCCTCAGCTGGCCTGAAACTCACTATGTAGACCAGGCTGACCTTGAACTCACAGAGATCCACCTGCCTCTCACAGTTGCAAAGTCCAAAGTCATGGTATCAGTAGGGTGGAACTTTGACCTCTTCCAGCTTCTTCTGTAGCAGTACTTGAGACCGTTTCATTCTCTGCCTCCATGGTCACACTGGCTCCTCTCCTCCTCTTTCTCTGGGTGCTGTTGTAAGGACATTTGTCCCAGATACAGGGTCCAAGTTGTAATCCAGGATGATCTTATCACAGGTTCATATTCAGGGGTTGCATGGGTTCACAAGTGGACATATCTTTTTGGGAGCTACTGTTCATTCACTGTTCAGTCATCATGTTACTGCTGAGGTAAACATTTGGAGAAGGCATGGGATGTGGTCACCTAGATGAGCCTTACATTTCTCCCACAGGCCAGCCTTTCTTTAAAATCTGATTTATTTTTTCTTCAAATACCTAATATACAGGGGAACATATCAAAATGCAACAGCTGTCCAAGGTGCACTGTCACACTCAAGGTGCCTCCCTCTGGTTTGTTCTCTTTTCCTTTCCCTCCATCTTCAAGGCTTGACTCACACGAAGGTGCATGCGATTGTGATAGCTGGTTGCTCAGGTGAGAATGAACTCTCCTTCACCTAGGCTCTGCCTCACTTCTCTCTCTTCTGAGATCACAGTTTGCTCTGTGGTTTTTCTTCCTTTGTTTCTTTTCCCTACAATGTTCTAATTAACACGAAGTAGGCACACTTATCATACTCATTTGCCCCTTGCAGAGTCTAACCTAGTCAAATCCTAATACATCTTTTGAAAGGTGAAAGAACGAGGGTCAAGGCCAGGGAATGTGAGAGGGGGGAGAGAGAAAGGAACAGAGGGATGGAAGGAAGAATGTGACCAATTTTTGGTTGCTTCCTATTCAGTTAATTCAAAATGGAACAAGAATTTGCATTAATTAGGGACTAGGGAGATACAGCTCCATCAGTAGAGTGCTTACCCTATAAACATGAGGACCAGAATTTGATCCCCAGAACCCACATAAAAAGCCAAGAATGGTAGTACACGATTGTAATCCCAGTGCTGGAGAGGCAGAGATACGCAGATCCCCGGGACTCACTGACCAGTCACCCTGTCCTGCATGGGGAATTCCAGACCAATGAAAGACCCTGTCTCAAAATACGGTGGATGACATTCCTGAGGGACACACCTAAGGTTGTCTTCTGGTTTCCATGTCTATATGTATCCATACATGCATGTGCATCTGTACACAAACGAAGAATTTGCCTCAGTGGAATGAAAATCCAATTCATTTTATCAATAAGCTGAATTCTGTGCATAGATCTGTTTTAACATTTTTCTACCCCTCCCTCTGTTAAAGGTGTGCCACGTCATCACCGGGGTGAGATCTGGAAATTTCTAGCTGAGCAGTTCCACCTTAAACATCCATTTCCCAATAAACAGCAGCCAAAGGATGTGCCCTACAAAGAACTCCTGAAGCAGCTGACCTCCCACCAACATGCCATTCTCATCGATCTCGGTGAGTCTGCCCATCTACTAGAGACCAGAAAGGACATTCTGCACTTGGGAAAGTTGGAAAGACTGTTAAGTGATTTGCCTTTAGAGTTAGCAATCAAAATTTACTACTGAACCTTCAAAAGCCCTAGAGTAATCACAGTTACCTCCTGGACTGTGTAAGCACCTCTTTTCACATAGTGTCTGGCTTACTCTGCTTGGCATGAGTAGAGGTAGTCATTAAGGGCATTCATTAAGTCATAATTGTGGTTCTGTTCAGTAACTCAGATTTCCGCAGGATGATTTACAGTTCACTGAAATTACATGCTAGGCAGTATACTGACTTGGTTTAGTTGCAAGAATATTCCCTGGATTTTAGCACTCACAAACAGAACTCATCAGAAAAAATGATAGAAAGCTCTGTGTATGTGTATGTGTGTTTTGAAAAGTGGGTAATACCTTATTTCTGGAACAAATGTTTACATACAAAAATAAAAACTTATCTTTGAGGTTACAATAGGGAAGACCTTGCTGACTTAGAATGTAATTGTGTTGGGGTTTGGAGAAGATAGCTCAGCATTTAAGACTGTGTACTGCTCTTGTGGAGGACCCACACTCAGTTCCTAACACCCATGTCAGGCAACTCACAGAGGTTATATAACTTGTTCAAAGTGTTGTAACCAATTTGTTGCTGAACAGTATGACGTCAGAATCTGTACACTTCCCTCGCTCAGCCCCTACTTCTCCTCTAGGATGCAGTCCTTCATGGGCTGCACTTGAGCTGTTTTACCAGTATACTCTTAGCCCCAAGGACAGTACCTGACACATAGTAGGTGTGCAGTAAATCTTTCTGCCATGTTGACTCTGGGGTGTAACACTCACATTCCTTTTACAACTCCCTGGCAAACTGACCTTCTGTCCTAAGGAATAAGGAAACTGAGACACAGAGTGGTCAAGTCACATCATCATAGCAGGTGCCAGGACCTAAACTGACTATCATTCTGCCATCCCTAAAATCCCCAAGCCCTGAGTTGCTAAGAAGATGCTAGGCAGGTGAAGGGTGATGCTGCCAGGCATGACAGGCCTCTGGCCCAGTGACCCTGAGGACAGCCATTCGTACATTGGCAGAAGCTGTGTTTGTTTGTATGATGAGTAACGGAAGCAATGACATCATGTCCTGTCATGTGAAGTGAGGTGGAAATGAATTGGGGGTGGGAGTTTGAAAGGGAGTGCACAGATGGGCTCCTCCTTCCCTCTCTACTCCTTCTCAGCACAGGAGGAGAGGGGTGGGGCATGGACTTTCTCTCCCTGGTTTGTATTTTATTCCTTTGGCTTTTCCCTCATTATTCCTAGGGACAGTCAGGGCTCTGCCTTAGACTACTCAGATAAATCACTTTTCTGCAGAATGAGAGGAAAGTCCAGATTGGCCACATAACCCCTGCCTGACCAGCCAGGCCTCACCCTGGGGAACATTGTTTCTCTGAACCCCAGCTCTAGGCCTTTTCCCTAGTAAACAGCGCCTGATTCACATCCTCTCTACACCCACCCTCCACTGCACTGATCCTTCTCCTCCTCCCCTCTGACCCAGTGCTAACCTGGTCTCCACTTTGGATGTCCTCCAGACACCCTCCAAAGACCTGAAGAAGCTCTCTTTGTAGTAATCCATGTCCCAAGTCACTTCCACCAGGCTCCCAGGGACCCTGCCAGTATTGGCTCTGGGCCCCATGTGAACAAGAAACCCTGGGTGTTGGCCCGGACTCAGCAGCAGAGTCCAGGTGCCCTTCCACAGGGCTCTAGCTCTGTGCTGTGAGTCAGGATAAGGAAGGCCTTGTACAGAGGGCCTCCAGTTCTGCCCATGACAGGCCCTCACCTCTCACTGCAGGCATTTTGTCTGCACTGTGTATTTTTTCTGTACTATAGCTGACTCAAGACCCTATAAAAGTGTGTGGTACAGAGTAATATCAGCTCCCATTTCTTTTGAAGTGGTCTTCCCGTGCTGGTCTGAAGAACAGTATACTGTTGATTGGAAGTATTTTGGCTATTCGTGGGTGTCTGTTTTCCTGTCTCTTGCTTTATTTTCTGAAATCGGCTTTTTAAAGTTTAAATAGCTTTTTGTGAGATTTGTTTCCCCAGAGTACCAATAGTAGGCTTTATAGTGTTGGTCCTGTTTTCTGGTTGGTAAACTATGTTTCCAAATGTGGCCTCACTTCACCCTTACACAGCCCTGACTGGGCACATGCTCTTAGTTCACTACAGACATGATGCAGGAGGCCCAAGAGGTGGAGTACCGTCACCTGGTAACAGTCTGCTCATACAAACAGAGCTCTTGAACCTAGGTCTCATTGGTCTTTGTGCCCCACTGCTTGTTTCTTTGGCTCTGCTCACTGCTTCCCCTCACAACATCCTGTGCCTTTAGTATTGGTCATCACCAACCAGGGGGATGCCACTGTCATGGCTTAGCAGGGTCCTCTGCAAGAGCAGCCAGTGCTCTTAACCGCTGAGCTGTCTCTCCAGCCCCTACTTAATGTGTTTTAACCAAAGGCTTCAAACGTGCCTCATACATGGAATCAAAGAAACTGTGTCAAGAAAGAGAATTTTCTCCATGCCTTTTTAGAATTGGTGAAAGCTGAGATGGGCTTCCACAATGAACGCATTAGCTGAGAGTTAACTTCGGGTAAAGGCAGGAGGAGAGTGGTTTCTTCTTGCCTGGCTGCTGGCTGCCTCGTTTGGCCTTGCTGCAGGAGGCTGGTAGCATATTCTTTTCATAGGAGGCATGGCCTCCATTGCTTACTGAGGGGTACTGGCAGAGAACAACTAAAAACCTTGATGACAAAAGACAGAAACATGTCCAGACCTTGTCATACAGTCACACTAGCTTGTCTATCCAGTTTGAGACTGTTCTATAGAGGTCTGTTGAACATCACAGTTCCAGAATCTAATAAATTCTTGCACCAACATGCATTATTCCAAAGAGTGTTTCTGATATTACCAAGATCTCAACATGAACTTATTTTTGTTTGTTCATTCTAAATATGCCATGTGTGATGGTTAGTGTTAATTGTTACTTGACAGAATCTAGAATCACCTGGGAGACAGTCTTCTGGGCATACTTGGTGGGGGAGGAATTATCTTGATGTTCTTAATTGATGTGGGACCATTCCTTTTGGGGGGGAGGCAATAAAATGGAGAAAGCAAGTTGTATTAGTCACTTTTCTGTTGCTGTGATAGAAACACTGACCAAAGCAACTTATATAGAGAGGAGTTTGAGCTTACTGTTCCAGGGGAATTATAGTCCATCATGACGGGAAGGCATGGTGAGTAGAGGTGGCTGGCGTGGGAGCAGCAGAAGCTCTACATCTTCCAGCAGGCACAGGAAGCAAGAGAGCAACTGGAGATCCAGCAAGGCTTAAGAACTCTCAGCCCTCCCCCTGTGACGTGCTTCCTCCTGCAGAGCCACACCTTCTAAGACCCCCCGAAAACAGCGTCACCAACTGGAGACAAAATGTCTAAATACTTGGAGTCTGTGGGGGACATTTTCATTCAAACCACCACACAAGCTGAGCACCAGTGTTCATGTGTTCGTTGTTCTCATCTAACTTTGAATGTAATGTAACCAGCTGCGTCAAGCTCTTGCTGCCTTGACTTGCCCACCTCGATAGACTGTTCCTAGAACTTTAAGGTAGAACAAGTCCTTTCTCTCTTAAGTTGCTTTGTCAGAGAACTTTATGTCAACAACAGCAAAAGAAACCAAGACACCGAGTAACTTCACAGTGGTATAACTAAAAGTTGATAAAAGGAATGAATAAATAGGGTATAATTTCATTCCCTTTCACAGCGATCTGAAATCTTCCTGCATCCTTTGGGTCAGTCAGTGGTATACTAGCAACTGTTTGTCAACCAGCTCCTCACAACACCTCAGACATCCTGATGTTTAGTATTTAGTGGCAAGACTCCCACAGTATCCAGATTTAAGCAGCCAAATTGAAGTCATGGATGGCACGGAGCTGGAGAGATGGCTCAGCAGTTAAGAGCACTGACTGCTCTTGCAGAGGACCCGAGTTCGGGTTTCAGCACCCACATGGTGTCTAATAGCTGTCCATAACTCCAGTTCCAGGGAATCTCATGTCCTCTTCTGGCCTCTGAAGGCATTGCATGTATAGGTGTACTTAAACACTCATACATGTGAAATGAAAATAAATAAAAATCTTTGAAGAATCATGGGTGGCAGGTTGGCACAGTTGGGTGCTCACATGCAGAGCTCCTGGGAACCAGCACTAGCAGTCACTGGGCTCACTCTGATGCTTTCTGGAAGGTAGGTACTTAGGGTAGAGCTCAGAGCTCTCCCAGCCATGCCATTCACAGCAGTTCCACAGGTTCTTGAGCACCTGGGTGTCCTGTGCACATCAGGAAGCATATTTTAGCAGGAAGACAGTCACTGGACAACTGGCACCAAAATTTATTTAGAGTCTGAAGTATGACACAAGGAGGATCCCCACCCCAGCTCTCATTTAAAATTAGGCTCAGAGCCAAATGCAGGTGAACCACACAGCCACATAGGTCTTCATCTAGGAAGGAATCTTCCTTATGAGTGAGGAGCTAGCCCGGAAGCTATGGTTGTCAAGGTCAGACTGCCAGTTTCTAGTACAACTTCCCTGAAATGCTGGAGTCTCCAGCTCCTGCAGGAAGAAACTTGTTAGTCCATGGCCTCTGCCATATTGAATAGCTTTTCAGGAGAGGCAGTGATTCAACATAGACAGCAAACCCAAGCTGACCAGCGAGCTCAAACAGGACCAAGTCCCCAGACCTCTACATAGAATGAGGTAGGGCACTCGAAGACTAGGTGATATTTCTCATGACACTGTTCAGTGACTACTTGCAGGGCTCTTTGAGCAGCATCCCTGCCCTGTTGTTATTAAGTGTTTCCAGCCAAGAGGCCAGCCTGGGACATGCATGTTTAGCAAGCCAGGTGATCTGATAGGATGCCTGCTGGGACCTGCTGGGTAAGACTCTACTTCACCCTCTAGG